GAATCCACCAGGGCGACCCCTAAAAGTTCGGGCCACGTGACTTGTCGATCGACGCCGGCTACTCCGACCCTATACGTCATCATTCTATACGTGAATACACATGACTATCAACGTGATTGATGTCACGTATATTCACGTGATATATATCAATTCGAGAACACAACGAATTTGGTGAACTAGTCCAAATTAATTATACTAATGAGCCATAGATTAGTGAAGTTAGCATCAACAATATCCCAATCAGTCTTGGAAACAATGTGTTTCCGTGAATAGTAATAAAGGGAAATGATGGCTTGTTGGATTGGGTGAAGTTATCAACAATATCCAAATCTGTCTTGGAAACAATGTGTCCGTGAATAGTAAAATAAAGGGGGAATAATGACTTGTTGGGTTGGGGTATAGAGGAGTCATAAGGGAAACGATGGCTTGTTGAATTGGATGAAGTTATCAACAATATCCAAATCTGTCCTGGAAACAATGTGTCCGTGAATAGTAAAATAAAGGGGGAATAATGACTTGTTGGGTTGGGGTATAGAGGAATCGCTTATAGTCATTTGTTATATTGTAATCATTCGTTACTTTATCACTCATGTAATAAAAATGAAATTCGATTAAATCAATAAATGTTATCTTTATTAATTGACTTTAAATAAATAAAAGAAAACAAACTATACGAATTAATCCTTACTAAAAACAAACAGAGAAAACGCCAACTCGTAAGAACTAACGGTTGTTTAATAGTTTAAAAAGAATCTCCAAGAGTACTAGCCGCGTAATTCCTAAAGACCTTCTGTTGGCGAGGAACTAACAACAAAAGAAAAGATCAGGAGGATCCTATCAAGCTGCTGCTAAAGAATCAATAGAAAACATAGTACAAACCTTACAGTATCCGGGTTTTTCAGTGGATTATCAACAACGATTCCTGTGCGTATGCTTCAATTAATGGCATTCTGCACTAAATGCAAATGCAATCGCGCTGACAATCAATTCATATGGAATGGCGTGCGTCACAAGACATGTAAAAGATGTAAAGAGAACCGCGACAAAGAGAATCATAACCTAAAGGATAAAGAAAATATTAGAATCGACGAATTAAGTCAACGTAATAACATGAAAATTTCTCCTGGTGTTTTAGATAAAGATCCTGATACAGATGAATTATCGCAAGGCACAGAAGTTATGCTAAATGAATCCATGGCTGTGGCAAAACACTCAGATGTAGAGCGTGTAGAGGTTGATCATCTTGATGTGGGAAACTTTATCGAGCAAGAGATACGGGAGCTGACAGTTGGCGCACACATTGATGGAGTCGCTGACATAAAATATCAAACTCACTTGCTTGTACATTTAGACATCGCTATAACTCGAAACAAGACGGCAAAGGAGCTTGCTGATATTATCATCACTGAAATTGAAGATGGAGATGAATACTCGTGGAAGCAAGTATCATCTCATTGTAAAATACATTCTCGATGTTATATTATTTATTAACCCGATAGAAATCATTATTATAGCTATAAAGACACGTACCTATCAAAGAAATTTGGAAGCACAGTTGGTCGGTTCGCTTATATGTGCTGTCAATCAAAAGAAGCACAAAGTGAAGAGTATAAAGATTCCAATTGCAAACGGCGAATGCGCTATGATTGCAAAGGTAGGATTGTAGTACGAGTTGATACAGTCCTTAACGTTATAACCGTAGATATCTATCATGGATTCCTTCATCCACGTCCAAACCTTTGCATTGAGATGCCTGAAGAACTACAACAAGAAATCAAAGCACACTCTCACCTTACCGTAGTGGACTTGAAGAATCACCTGCGACATCAAGGGTTCGATATCTCGAAGTACTCACCCAAACGCATTTATTTTTGGAAGTCCATGGCGAGCCGGGGGCTATTCCAACGTGACGATAACCATATTGAATCCGCGCGCAAGCTGCTTAGTGAGCACGATAGTTATGGCTTTAGCTGGTGCTTAAATATAGAAGATTCGGAAACTACAGCCATCGGTTTCACCACTCCATTGTTAGAAGAAATTAAAAATCGCAACATTAACATTACTGAAATCTATTTCGATGCAACTTATAAGACGGCGAGAGGGCGATATGAACTTTATGGTATCATAGCAGATGTTGAAGGCAGTGGCTTCCCAGTCGCTTACCTCATACTTGATACGACCAAAGCAATAAACACAAGTGTCAACGGCAGACGTCGTAAAGTCTTGGAGAGCTTCTTGGAAACCATAAAGACGCACGGTATCAATCCAAATTTCGTGTTTACAGACAAAGATTTCGCAGAAATTAATGCCGTAGCAAAGGTATGGGGACCTTCAGTAGTCCAGCTATGTGCTTGGCACATGAACCGAGCCCTCAAACTTAAACTCAAAGAGAAAGCCAAGCCATTAGACGCAGAGTACAAGACGCTATTACGTACCGTAAACTATAATGTCAATCAAGCGACTAGCGAATTTGACTTTATTGATCCTAACTTCTACCCAACAGAGGAAGATCGTAACCTGAGAACATATATCTGTCCACCAGCACATCGAGAGTTGATTTTGGAGCTAATGCAAAAACATTTTGACATGCATCCGTTGATACCTGTTGACGCTCAGGGAAACACTATGACACCAACAAATATTAGACAAGACGCTGTAAAAGATATGTATCAATTCTGCGTTGAAAATTCATTACGACTATTATGGGCATATCTATGGACCAACTGGTATTCACCAGAGCGATGGTGCCTGTGGGCACGATCAGTTAGACCTACTATACCTTTCGGTAAAACCACGATGAAGATCGAAGCCCATTGGAGTGTCATTAAACAATGCTATCTACACCGATTTAATCGTCCTAGACTTGATCTGCTACTTTGGACACTTTTTAATGAGATAATACCAGCACAAAAAGAGCGGCTTTCGCAAATTCTGAATGGCGTGGTGGCACCATGGTGGTGGGCTGATTTCAAGAAAGCATGGCTCACTGTGGGTGCGAGCAATAATAAGCAAGAAAAGATTTGTGCTGATGAGCCTCTAAAGAGCAAAAGGAAGCGAAATACCAGTGTAAAAATAACTAACCTGGATGGTTCGTATTTCACTGATGTTACTCGTTGGGTTTGCAGCTGCCCCGCTTTTCTTGGAAGTCGCTTTTTACTATGCAAGCATTTAGTTCGGCAGGTTTTTATTATGCCCAACGGCAAACGACGACGATTGTTAAAAGATAATTTTGAACGTCGTACCACCCCTCCATTTCTTGTTCTAAAAAATAATAAAAGTGATGAAACTAGCATACCTATTAAAATCGAGGAAATCAAAGTTGATGATTCCGTTAGTATTGAAATCACCGTTAACACGTCCAATAACGTTAATATTGATGAAAATCCCGAGGAAGAAGCCCGTGCTTATGTCGAATCAAATTGGATGTTGTTCGAACAGGCAATCAAGCGGATCCGTTCTGAAAAGTCTGCCAATAATTGGCGTCAAATTCGCGCAATAATGGAAAGGAGCCGATTAGTTCTAATAGAAAAAGAAATACAAGCTGTAGAACGACGGAAACACCGACAAACGACTTGGACATCGACATCTAATAAACCATATCTGTTGTACTTATCATATCCAGAAGAATTGAGTCATAAGGATAAATCAGATTCAGCGAAGAGGGTGTCAACCGATGACATAGATATTGTAGAAGATAATGGTGAACAAGACGTGCAATGAAAAATTAGAAAGCTTTGTCTCGGTTAAATTTCATTATATATTATAATTTTTAAATGTAAATAATAAAAATATTAATCTTTGACCAAAATATACTTGTAAAATATGAATATGACATATCATATGTATGCTTTTTTAAATTAATAATGCTTGTATATTATTGGTTGTAGATTATAATCACGTGACTAAACTATCGGATCATTGTAAAGTGGGTCGGAGTAGCCGGCGTCGATCGACAAGTCACGTGGCCCGAACTTTTAGGGGTCGCCCTGGTGGATTC